AAGGGGTAAAAATATTTAATAATAGTATCTAGATGGGTTGCATGAGATTTAGACAAGAAAGGAATTTATAGTTAATTACCATCACTAAGCCTTTCATGTGAACCCTGTTGATTTTGACCTCGGAGCTCTCATCCTCCGCAATGTCCAGCAAAATGTCAAGAAAGTCCCTATCCCTGTCTTGTTTCCTGCCATTTTTCCTGGCTTGTTCACGCTTCGTTATAATCCTCTCCACTAAACCATCAAACCTCTGATACAGATTCTCGATCCTCTTCCCAAACCCTTGCACGTCCACCTTCTTCAACACTCCAACAAAATCCGCCACGTTGAACTCTCCGAACATCGTCGTCACCTCTCGGATTACCCTGCTCGCCTCCTCCGATTCTCCGATCATCATCTTCGATATCACGCTGTTCGTCATCTTCAGCAATTCCTCCGTCACGTTCACCGCCTCGCAGGACCTCGCTTTTCCAGCGATGAGCTTCAGAAGGTTATGGCACTCCTGGGCGCGCAGACTCGAGAATCTTCCTGTGCCACGAGAACCGACCAGTTCGTTCAAGGTTAGCTTCTTGATGAACTTCCAGTAAGGTCCGTAGGGTGAGAAAGCCAGGGAGGTCTCGTATGTGAGTCTTTTAATGGCGGTGGATTCAAACCGAGAGCTAAAGGATAGTTCATGGTCTTGAAGAAACAGCTTAGCATAATGAGGATTGGAAACGACGACGCAGGGCACGGAACCTAGGTGGAGAGAGAAGAAGGGACCGTACCGGAGGGAGAGGCGGTGGAGGGAACGGTGGACGAGAGGACCGAGGAGGTGCAAGTGGCCAATGAACGGCAGCCATGGCCAAGGACCCGAGGGGAGGCGGCGGTCACGGCTGAACCGGAAGAAAATGTGTAATATGACAAAGGGTAGGAAGAAAGTGAGAAGAAGAAGCTGAAACTCCATGGCAGGTAGCTAGGGTTCAATTGAGAAGCATGCAGCAGAAGAAACTAAATGTGAGGATGGGATAATGCACAAGGCTTGAGGGTATAAATGGAAAAAGCTTTGTCAGAAATTATGTATAAGCGTAAAGCCACATGTCTTGGCAGTCCTGCATCGGTATGGTGTTGTGAACACTGCTGACGGACAACGAAGACCCTCGAATGCGATGAAATATAATGGCTGTCTGTCGTGGCGGACCTACACGTAATTAAATGGGGTTTTAAAAAAATCATGCAAATACATCTCAAAATTTGAATTGGTTTGGTGCTTTTTATCAGATCATTGTTAAGAGTATCTAAATACTACTCCTCTAATCCTATTTATTAATCATTTTCATCGTGTTTTATATAAATAAAAAAAAGTCTTAAATTTCATTAAATTTTATTTAAAATTTAATAACTTTTTAACTTTATCTCTATTTAATATACATTATATCTTATGTAAATAAAATCAACGTAATAATAAATAAAGGGTAAAATTGTATAAATATATAAAAAATTTCTCTCAATACCTTCTAAATAAGACCAAAAAATATTTTCTCTCTCAATCCTATAAATAGAACCAGAGAAGTAAATGCTAAATGCGTTTTCACCCATTTTAATTTGTCTTATTTATAAGATCCTACTTAAAGAGTGACTATATAGCTTTTAATTTATGGGATAAAAAAGAATTTAAGCATCATTTTGAGTCATCCGTGGCATCTAAATTATACTCCATCCAATCAGTTTCAAATTTGAGAATGAGTGCGACTCATTTTATAAGATTCAATTTGAGTTTGTTTTAACACATATTCTCTTTTATTTCTTTTCTCATTTATTATAAGGACATATTTGGAAACAAAAACATATTTCTAACCTATTTATTGTTTTAATTAATTATTTATTATTCATAAATTAGTTATTTAAAGGTTATAATAAAAGACCAGACACACGATATTACACAATCTAGTTGAAGCAATTAATGTCATTGACAAGTGTGCGTGGAAATGCTGCTGCTGAAGTTTGCTTCCCCTTCATGAAAGCTTTAGCTGTTTTGCCATGCATGGCCCTAAATGGTGTATGAAACATGCCAGTGCTCGAGTTCGGCGGAGCAAATTTTGAACCTTGGCAAAATCCTTACCCTATGTGAGGAAAAGAAAGGGGAGGAAAGAAATTTTTTCATATTAATGAGTCCGATTTAAAAAATTTAAACAAATTGTAAAGTTTTAATAAAATATTATATAAGATAAAAGAGTAAGAAAAAATAATTAAAACTTTTTAACTCTATTTCATTAATTTTTTAAATCGAACCTATTAAAATTTTCTTTTACCTTTTCTCCGTCTCACTTGTAGCAACTAGCTATTGATGGAGAAGTGGTTGGAAGTAGAAGACTAGGTATAATAAGAGTGTTTGGATTAGTTTTTTTAAAAATAATTTGCTAGCATATGAGATAAATATGTGAGAAATAATGAAATATTTTATATCAATTCATACGAAAGCACTCTTTTTAATAGGTGTTGAATGTTGCCAAACTCCCCACTCCTCCTACTTAACAGATTTTCAAGGTTTTCGCTGGGAGATGATAGATTACAGATTTTCATGCCAGCAGAAAAAGAAACAAATGCAACGAATAAATTAAATCAAGTCTCTGTTTTGTATGGAAATAGTCAACAGTACATGTCAGCTTTGAGTTCTAACTATCCGAAGGTCGTCTCGTCAGCGGTTTCACAATGTCCACGTCAACAACCTGTTCGTGATTAAGTCGGTAAAATTCTGAAAAGGGTTAAGTTTTAAATTTAGGAATTAACTTTCTATCTCTTTTATACAACTAATTAATTTGTGGTATTATTAGATCAAGTCTATTGTACATTATTAGATGAAGTAATTATCTCAGCATGGTTTTTTTGTTCCCTTTAATTTATGAGGCCTGAACTCTTCACCTTATTAAAAGAAAATTATTAGGTCGTACTCTTACTCGATTTAAGTACGTATTACTCCTCTGGTATAAGTGTCTTATATTTAGAACCAGAAGAGTGTTAGATTATAAGAATTAATTTTTACAAACAAGGGGTTGATTAAAAATTTTTAAACAAGACTTGGAGGATGCAACTTGCCGAACCGTAGGATACCTTAATTTTAACAAATTGGAAAAAATTTGTCCAACAAAATTGGTAAAAAGCCAGTGCCAATACTTTTATTTAAGTCCTTCTCATTAATGAAATTTTTAAGGGGCAAGATTTATCATGCCTTCTGTTTATTTCCCTCAGAAGTTACAATGTGACGGAAAACAAAAGCCAATATAAGCTTTTTAATCAATTTTAATTTTTCCCGAATTATGGAGAATTTTATTAGCAAGGCAGTGGGAATTAATTAAACCAAAATTCGAAAATATCATAAGACGGATCCTTTGCTGGCAAAAAAAAAAAAAAGACAAATCTTTATTGATCAAAACATAATATGGAACAGGATTAGTGATGAAGTGAACCAAAGTGTTGCTTCGAATAGGATTTTGTGCGTATCAAGAAATTATGGGACAATCAGATTTTAAGAAAGAGATTTGATTACCTTAAAATTTATTAACAAGAATAAGTAATGACAAGTTTTAAAGTAAAAAATGATAATAACTTCAGGCTAGTCACTTGTTATTAGGATTTTTTGGTAACTAAAATTTTTTTCATAGAACCTCTTAGTAATTCTCCCAAAAAACATAGTGCTTATTTGGATTGTTTGGTCTATTTGAAATAGCTTGTAAATAATTTTTTAATCGTGATTTAAAAAATATAAAATAAGAGATAAATATATGAGGAGATTTTTGTTTCAGCTCACGCAAAACATACTTATGAGCCTGTTTGGTGAGATGGTGCGACAATTAATAAGTAGCTGATAAATGTGATAAGTCATTTTGTAAATTTGAAAACTATTTGAGACAGCTTTTATTAGCTAATCTGATTTATGAGTCAAAATTATATTTTTAAACATGATTATAAAAACTTATGCAAAAGTATTTTAGAATTAAATGAGTAGCCTGGCACAGAGCATTTCGAAGCTTCTTGCGAAGAACTGGAACGGCGAATGCATGCGCAGATGGTCTGGCAAAACTTTTAGCTTTGTCAAACAAGGGGGTTGGAGACACGTGGAGGACGTTGATCCTCATATTGTGGGTGCAGTGGAAAGGGGTAGAGTTGACTGTGATGAATCTGAAGAGTTTCGAACTGTTCACATGTTAGATGGTTTGGGATGCGCTTTGTCTTTAGTGTTGCTGGGTTGGGCCCTCTCTGTAAAAAAAAAAATAATAATAAAAATACTTTGTTCTTATACTGTTCTTATGCTTCTTTTTACATATTTATTGTATTTCCCAATCAGTTTTTACTTATTCATTTTTAAATTTTTTAAGTAAGAATAATTTTTAACATAATTTTTAGAATATTTTTATTTTTAATAATATTTTTATTTATATTTATATAAATTGTGCAAAGTATAGCTAATTATGTAATATTATTTGGTTAAAAATTTTCATTTCTAATTTAAATATTTTATTCATTAAATATAATTTCTTCCTATTATAATCATTTAAAATTATTATATTTTGTAAATTTATAATTTTTACTTATTTTTAATTATTTAATAAAAATTATATCTATTTTGGTTATTCTACAAACTAAACTTACTCATTAATCATAATTTAAATAATTTTTTACTTTATAAACTAATTTTTATAAAAATCAATTTAAACATAAATTATATTACTTAATATAATTTTTATGTAATCTTATTTTTCTAAAAATCAAATTGATTATAACCTTCTTTTTTTTTTTTTTATCGTCAATCTTAAACGGACTCTATAGAAATGATTTTGAACATATTCCAAATAAGCTCTAAATAAGTGTGTATAAGCTATTCCAAACAGCAACAAGAACAGTTATGCTAACTTGAATTACATTTAGGCCCTCGTCGCCGTTGGAAGGGCCAAAAAAAACCGGGGCCCCATCCCCATGCCACCGCCGAAGAACGGAAGATAAGAAGCCTTACGCCCCACCGCTGCTTTTCTTCCCGATACTCCATAAGGCTTCAGATACTAAACGTGGAATGATCTGAAAGGTCAGAGTTCTATAATCATTATGGGATTACTCTCTTCATTTCGAACACTTTTAGAATCCTGTGTGTGTGTGGAACCCTAAGTCTTTGTAATCCCTATACATTAATTTTTAGGTTCAGGACGACTGTGCTGGCTGTCACCCTTTGAATGGTGGAGAATTCCATGTTATTGATCTATTGTGGTTAGCATTTATAAGCATGCCTAACTCGTTTCACATTAAAAAATGCGAAAGTCGGAAAGTGTATTGAGTTTTAGGTAGGATGTGATTCCTCTCTCTCTTCCTCTCCCACTCAATTTCTCTCTGTATTCACCGCATGCGTAGGCACAGGCACAGCCAACCCCTTTCTCTCTAGTCTCTTGTTCCCACCAAGATGTATTTTTCCCTGACCGTAGATGGCTTTGTTTCCTTGCAAGTCCTCATCTTCTGTAATTCCATTAAAATTTTCGAGTCTTGTTTAATTTTTTCTTTGCTTACTAGTTTTAATCCTGCTATGAATTCCATTGTTCTTTTTGTTGAGATTTGTGCAGAGGAAAAACATCAACTTTATAGATTGGCGACCACATTGAAGGTTCCCTTCTCTTTCCCTGTGACAAATTGCATCCCTGGGGTTTGTTTCTTTCTCCATCATAGGGAACTCCTCCGTGCATTGGTTTTAAAGTTAACGGAAACATGGTAGAAATTTTTAAATTTTAGGACGTGTGAACCGTGTTGTTGACTCCATAGATGAAAGAAGAGCAAGTTAACTTCATATCTGTCTTTGTGTTAACTTTGTTAATTTGCTCCCCTCTTGCCACACAAGTGTGCATACGAGCTTGCGCGGGCACATCATGAAATTAGGACTGCTTTATATTGTCACAAGCGGGGGTTTTACTGATTCATTGGCTTGTGTAACATTACCATATGTCTGACAATAATTAGGTTTGGGCACTATACTTGTGTTGAAGAATGGTCTTTATTTCAGCGCATCCTCACAATTATAAATTTATGCGCCAAACATCTTTAATAAAATTCATTCCCTACTGAAGTCTGCTGTTTGTGCCTTGTGATTTATTTTGCTTCTTTGTCCATCGGATGTATACTTTTTTGTTTTTTTTTTGCCATTATTATTGATTTTCTACCTTATGTAAAAGAATGAGCTTGATTCTCGGGTGTGTGAGCAATTCCTTCTCTCAAATTGAAGTTACTGTGCAGAACAATTGCTGCCGCACATAAAAGATAAACTAGTTTTGTATTTTCTTGGAGTTGAAAACTATTGGGTTACCCATGGACAACACATCTAAAGCTTCATCAACTCGTCCATGGCTCTGGGTGATTGAAGCCCTAGCAAGCTGTAGGGAAATAGACAACTCTACTTTACAAGGTATGCATGAAATGCTAGACAAACTTAAGAAGCTGCTTCTTGTTTTATGAGTGTTTTCTACAGAAAAATAATTCATGACGATTATTTTTTTTAATTTCATTTTCTCCCTTCCAGACTTGATTGATGTAGCCCCTGTAGAGCCCAGTGAATTTGGGGAAAACACAAGCGAATTGGTTGCTGGAAGATGCTTGGAGACCTTGTTCGGGTCTGCTAGTGGATTGAAGTTTGATGCTTCCTCTAGCCCAGTTTCAAGACTTGGCTCAGGCGTTTCAAGAAGTTGTAAAGATGTCCTCCGTCAAATATTTCATGAGGTAATTTTATTCAATTGATCTTTGAAGTGTGGCTGCATTTATTGCATTTCAGAAGCTGGACCAATTTGATTACTCATTTAATTGGTTGGTTCATTGGATGGTTTGATGATGGGAAACATATTTACTAAGTGAGATGCATATTCTTTTGATGATTTTAATCAGATACCATTGTCAGATCCGGAGATAGCTGGAGTAGAGATTGTGCAAAGAGGTGTATACCCATTTGTGACACATGAAAGAGCTAACGCTATGAAATTGGAATTGGAGCAGGTGATAAGAGTCACTGTCTAAAGAAATGAAAATTATTTTTTTCCCTCTCTGTTTCAGTGAATCCATTTTTTATTTACATTATTTAATTATCCTTTCCCCCTAATTCGTTTTTCTGAGTAGCTGAAAGAATCAGTCATTGAAGGTACTCATCCATGTGCTGATCGCTTAAAAGAAATGAGTGAGCTGACACTTCAGAATCAGGATTTGTCTGCAAATGATGGCAAATGCAATGATCTTTCTAATAATGATAATGAGAGTGACATGGGAGCAAAACAGAAGTCATCACCAAAAGAACATTTACACGGTAAGAATTTTTCACCCTTAAGAGAAATAGGGAATACTCATTCAGTGTGCATGATATGCCATACATGTGAAGCACATTAATGTAGAAGAATGTGATGATTTCCTAATAAGTGAAAAGAAAAATAAATAATATCCACCCAATATTGAGTTAAAAAATGATAAGAATTGCTGAACCGCATCTTTGCTTGAAACTAAGGATGATAACGAACATCATATTGTGCCTATTCCAGCAAGTATTGATGATCCAGAAAAAGCTCAACACAAGAGTGGCAATTCTCAATCTGAACAGGAAATAGATGTTCAACCGAAGGAACCCAATGCTGCATATCCAAATCCCACACACGAAGTTACCGTTGATTCTTTTAATGGCGTTGGAGCAGACCACCCTGAAATGATTGCTTTTGCTGCCGAAAGGCATGAGTTCTTTAGCCCTCACTATCTATCTGGTCATGATTTCTCAGAAAATACTGAATGGAGAGACCAAAATCTTTGTATGAAGTGTAATCAAGGCGGTCAGTTACTGGTTTGTAAAACAACTACTTGCCAATTAAAGGTTCATGAAAGCTGTTTTAGTAAGTCTGCTCAATGTGATGGGAAGGGCAACTTTTTGTGCCCATTTTGTGCATATTCTTGTGCTGTTTCAGAATATCTTGAAGCAAAAAAGAAGGTTTTTGTGGCTAGGGAAGAACTATGTATCTTCCTTGGTAAGGGTATAGAGGATCAGGCAATGGAACTCCTTGAAGTTCATAGAAAAGAAAATAACTCTTCAATCAAGGACAAGTATGAAAATAATCTCATCAAAGACAATGGAAATGACCAGTCATTAGGAACAGCAAGAGAAGACAATCAAGAACATGTAAACGAAGTCAGTACTCTTCAGTTTGAAAGAAGTCAGCAACAGGCAGAGGCTTCCATGCCATGTGATAATATTCCTCCGTTATGCAGAGAAAAGGGAATTGTAAACAATGGGACGGAGACAGTTTTAAATGGAGGAGAAGGAACGGGTAACATTGAGAATCCAAAAATTTTACATGTTCAAAGAGTTGAAGAAAGCCAAGTTGCAGCAGACCATAGAACTGCTGGTGATAGCTTATTTCGTCATGTTCCCTCTGTTAAGCAAAACGCTACGGGGAAAGAAAATCAGCGGGAATTAATTGGAGAATACAGCACTGATCGGACAGAAGAGCCTGCTTGTGCGCATTATAATGAAGAGAACGTTTCTGAAGATGGCAGTGAAAAGCATATAAATTCTAGATACTCCATGAGATCCCGAAACTATCAAACACAATGGTAAGATTCATTACTTAGTTCTGCCATGTGATGTCTGCACTTCTTTCCCATTGAGGTGCTGACTGGTTATGCTTATTTGTTCATGTTCTATGCTTTACAAAAGCATGTATTTTAATGTTAACAATATGTTCAAGGGTCCAGACCGGTTTTTATACTATTTTGTTTATTAGACTAATTTTCAGGATATTGAAAGATGGAGTATGTTCATGTGATAACCATTTTAATAGGATTGGTAGTGGCTTTTGTCTTTTGGACAAAATAACTTATGATTGTTTAATATGATTTGCAGCAAGCCACGACCTCCACTATTAAGAAAACGGAAGAACGTTCCATGGACAACTGAGGAGGAAGACATACTAATGGTATTAATTCTTTGCTTTTCATTGCTTTAAAATTTGTGATTTTGAACTTTGTATCCTGTGTGAAGTTGTAGAATTTGGATTATAATAGATAGAAAAAGAACAAAAATAGAAGATTGAAGAATAGAGAGATGATAGAATCCAGAATTTTATCAACTGTCAAAACTGGTTCCTTCTCATATTAAATGACCAATTTAACGAGTTAGTCAGGATTCTAATGAACTAAGCACCCCTTCTCATATGTGCGCACATAAGCGCAGGCTGGCCGTGCTGCGTGCTGTGCTGCACTTTGTTGTGAACTGTGTGCTGTGCTGTGCAATGCAACTTGCTAAATAATGGGTTTTGTGCAGGAAGGAGTGCAGAAGTTTGGAGTGAGCGACCAACAAAGAATGCCATGGAAGCAAATTTGGGAATTTGGCTCTCATGTTTTTCTAAGTGAACGTAGGCCAGCAGATCTGAAGGATAAATGGAAGAACATATGCAAAGCAAAAAGGAAATCAAAATGAAAGAGCAGCATCTTGGGCATGCTCCTGTGAATATAGTCATGTTTATATGCTCTTCATACCTATCCCAGCCTGACGATTTTCAGCTGTTAAGAGTTACCATCATATTTTCAGTCAACTGGGTAGCTTATAGTCGGGCTTGGTTGTATTTGGGTTGGATTAGAAACTAATTCGGTGAAGATCTATGTAGTTATGGATGATCCTGCTTAGAAAGGACTTGTAAAGATATATGTAGTTATAGTTTGATGATTTTTTACCCCTTTGTTAGTTATATTCAACTCAGCCGTTAATAGTTGCGATCTTCCATTATGTTCTTACTGTTTTATCGTTAATATAATTTATTTATTTTGGTATTGTTAATACTACTTATGATTCTTATTATAAGAGTTTATTTGACTTTTATTTTGATCGTAAATAGAAGATCTTAATTTATCTTGTCTTTTATGTTTATTCATTTTTTTTAAAATGTAGTTTTTATAATAATAATAGTTTTAGCCAATATACTTGATTAGTAAGGATACTTTAAGAATGATAATACCTATTTATTACAAATAACTAATTTAACTAATTTTTTTAGTTTACTTAAATTAGTCAAGTAGTTTTTATATTAAAGACCATAATTAGTATAAGTTATTTTATTCAATTGAGCAGGTAAATATATAATGCTTTCAATTAAATTATTCTACCGAAAAGTATACCTAAAGACTCTTGGATTTATCTCCTTACTTAAAAGTTGCCATAAAAAAGCTCTTAAATTTGAGCTGTCTGATGTTATCAACATATTTTAATTAATTAGTGGATTTAAAATCATATCCTCATGTTAGGTTAAGTGATGAGGATGGGGTGAAACATGGATAGAGTTCGCGAGTTTAAGCTAATAAAATCACATCCTCTAAATGTTCTTGGAGATAAAACTAAATAAAATGTCATTTAAGCGGCTAAAACTGGCTCGAATTTTAACGATGGAAGACAAATCATTTCATTTCTTGGAAGAAGCATGGAGAATTGAACTTACGTTCTAGAGAATTTGCATTGTTGAACTGATCCAACCATCTTCCATCGCCAATTTTTGCTTCGTTTTGCTTATATTTCAGGTGGATTACAAAATATCCAGATGTAAGGATAAAAATTTTAGACTTTGTGCAAAGAAAAAGGATGAAAATTGTAGACAGAGAAATTGAATGATGGTTTTATCTAAAAAAGAAGAAAGAAAGAAATCAAAGATAAATTTAGGAGTTTAATTATACCAACGAAAATTTTGAATGTAATTTTTTCTGATTCTTTGAAAAAAAAGTTATAACACTTTTTAACTTGATTATTTTTCCTCGTATATTCTTCTTTCATTTCAATTTCACATAATGTGAATGAGACCCTTATCAACAGACGTTGTAGTTTACACTATAAAACTCTTCCTCTTCCATATAATTATAATATGTAAAAAAACATTTTAAAGAATCAATATTATGATTTCAAGTTACAAAAAAAAAAAAAATCTCTCCACAGTAAAAAAAAAGAAGGAGCCTGAAAATAGCAAACAGTGGACTTTTACTCACTAAATCTTGTTTGGATCAAAGCAGAAATACAAACATTAATGCCTTCCAAATCTTCGTTTGATTAATACAACTCTTCACCTCAATGGATCATCATCACCCAACTGATTTAGCCTGAGTTCCACAGCCTTGAGATCGCGAAGATGCAGCAATATATCCTGAAGAAGATCCATTCCCTTCTGATCTCCCTGCTCTGTGGATCCCATACAGTTCTTTAGAAACTCAGTGTCAGTTTCAAGAGCTTGTAGCTTCTCATAAACATGATCAACCTCTTCTTCGATGGACACTTTCATAGTTGCATTATCAATGGGACCTCCTGAGTTTTCCTCTTGCCTTCCACATGAATATGATTCTTCTGTCTCATCATCATTGACTGCATCTAAAAATGGAAGCAGCCTCTTTGCCAGAGAAGCCATTGGCATTCTTGGAGAGTGACATTGCTTATCATCTGAATACACATTGTTACAGCACATATCTTCCTCTGGACTGCTAAAAAAGCTGTTCTGATTCAAGTCATCAAGAAGTTGCTCTTTATCACCCAAAGTTATGAGCTTTTCCTCCAATGCTTTGAGCTGGTCTAGAATTGACAGTTTCTCTTCCTCAAATTCTGCTAATGAACTATCAAGAGCATTCATGTGCTTCACACAGTCCATTGTCATTTCCTCCAAGCTTGAAACTGTATCAGTAGAAGTGGTTGTGTTAATGTTATCTTCTTCCCTTGGTTCACAGTTCAGATCAATGGATTGCTCCTCAGTGTCTTCACCCAAAGACGGAGAAGAAGAGGATTCTCTACTTCTATCACTTCCATTTTTCATTCTTCTCAAGACTCTTAGTTTCTCTTTGGCTTCAAAATCCATTACCTTCTGCTTGTACTCTTCCAGCTCCTTCTCAAGCTCTTTTTTCTCTTTCTCTCTTTTCACCATGAGATCGTTCAAGAGCTGCAAGGCTTCTTGATCATATTCTGATTGTTCTTCCATCATTCTCTGGTATTGCAATGCCTCCATCTGCATTGCTGCCTTTTCTTCTTGCAGCCTGGTGATCATAGCCATTGTCTGGTTTGCTGCAATTGCTGAGGCACTTCTCTCTTCTTCTAGCTCTTGGTATAGAGCACTTAAAGTCTTTCTCTCTGCTTTCAGAGCTGTTTTCAGTTGTTCAATTGTCGATACTGAATCGCCATTTTCTATCTCACTTCCATCCCCAGACTCTGTTTTCTCATAAAGCAACATTTTCCCATGCAGGTAATGCAGGCCATCTACAGAACTTGGAGTTTCAGGAAGTTTGTCTTCTTCTACTTCATCTTCCGCACAGGATTTTGATGAATGATTATGGCTTGTTTCTTCATGATTTTCGTCAGCCAAACTTAGGTCAGCATCCTCCTCATCATTTGCACCAGTTTCAACAAGACCTGCATATTTTATGGAAACAATCCCATATTAAGATTTTTTTTGCCCTTTTCTTAGAATGAAGTGCTTAGCAATCAGAGAAGGTAGAAAGAAGTATTACAAGAAAAAGAGTGAGAGTGAGACATTCCAAGGCTGTTCTGAGCAATGAATTTATCAAAGGCATCAGGAACTTCAGCATCATCGTCACTGGTTAAGGATTGGTCTTCTTCTATGCATTCACAAGAACAGGAGGGTTCTTCAGATTGAGGCAGATTGTCTGTGTGAAAAGGCACTTCTTGTCATCAATGGCGCTAAAAATAATGAAACTAAGTTCTTTAAAGTGAATTATGGATCTCTAACCAGTGAACAAGCCAACTAGGAAACAAGATAAGTGATGTACTTTCTTTGTACCTTGTGTATCATCTGCTTCTTCTGGGGTTGTTTCTATGTTGTTGTCACCACAGAACAAAGACTGAGACTGGCAAATATTATTCTGAGCTAAGAATTCATCAAAGGCATTTTGAACTTCAGCATCATCGTCACTTGAAGAGGTTTGATCTTCTTGGGTGCATTCGAATGCTGATTTTAATTAAATAAGTCAGAAAAATTGAGAACAACAAAAGCGACAAGAGAGAGAGAAAAAAAAAAGGTTTCATAATTCTTATAAATCATGGGCTTTCCTCATACCTTGTTCATCGTCTTGCTTTTCCATGGCTGATTCAGCATTATCTCCATCATTTTTTAACCCTTCGTCATCTTGTTCCAAAACCATATGATCTTTCATGCTTAATTCAGCTTCAATTGATGACTCAGAGGCCAAAGTTTCGATCTTTTGGTCCTTCTTCCCAACACCATCTTCTGATTTACAAGCTCCAAAATTTGCAGAGGTAAAAGAGTCTATTAACTCCACAGGTATCACACGTTGATCCTTATCATCTACGTTGGTTTCAAAACGCATACTGATGCAATCAAACGATCTATCTTCCCAAACAGACTCAGAGAAACGATGAAGAAGATGGTGACATTCACTAATCGGATCCGTGTCTGTAATGATAATAAGATCATCTTCTTTCTCATCTTTCTCTGCATCCTTTGAAACAGAACTGTTCGAACGATCTTCTGCCACTTCTCTGAGTATAAAACTCTCCACATCAAAAAGTATCTGATGGTCACACTCTCTATCTCCTTCTTCTTCTCCTTCTTCCTCATCTTCATCTTCATCATCATCATCGGAGGCTTCCACAATCAAAGTCTCTTTGCTTGTATAGGTAGTTCTCAAGCTCTTATCACAGCAAGAGCATCTCTCAGATTTCTCACTAAACCACGAAACGAAAGCCATGCCTCTAATGGAGACCAAGCAATCCTCACACATGCTCTGTGTCTCCGCCATTTTCCCATGGATTGAGCAGAAACCCATCTTGGAAATCTCAGCCGCGTGAGTTTCACACACAGCATCGCTCTGCAAGACCTTGCTTTTACTCTCCGGCTCTAGAACATGATCGAGCCTTGAACAAAGCAGGCACGGAGGCTTGAGGCCTACCCATTTGGCAAACCTTGTGATGAGATAACTGAAGAGAGAATTCAGAAGAAGAAGAAGTATCAACACCCATTCTAGAACCGCATAAACCAGAGTCACAACCACAGTGTTTGTGTTTCTGTGCAGCAAGGTCGCAAATTTGTTGGCAGCCATTGATGGGGTGAGAGAAGTAGAGAAGAAGAAGAAGGAAGGAAGGATGATTCAGAGAAAGGTGCAAGGAATTTAGGCACTGTATTGAATTTGATTAATATATGTTGTATCATTATGAGTCTGCATAAAGGGAGAAGGGCATCATTTCAGAGGAGGGAGAGTGAGTCTGCGATGGCACTAGTTTTCTTTAGTGTGGGGTTTGTTTTGAGGCCATGCGACAGCATTATAACAGAGAGTCTTATTATAAGAATACTTTTGGAGGGTATGTTGTAAAGTGAATTATGAGTTCCCATCTGTGTGTTGTAAACGGATGCATGCACTGGACAAACGAAAATGAGATTTCATGTCTTGTGTCGTGTTTGGCTTCAAGTTTGGGATTCTCACTTGTGGAGCTTTCAATTTCAATAGCTGCATTATTTTGACATTTGTTTGTGCACATCATATCGAAAAAAAAGGGTAAGATCTTAATGATGACATTATCGTTCAAGAATTTAATTTGATGGTTTATTCTACTTGAAATTTTAAAAAGAAAAAAATTAATATATCAGTCCCTAAAATTCAACCAAATATTAAATCAGATCCTGAAGATTTTAATGATGGTTCATCAACTTAAACTACGAGATGTGCATGTTTCACCAACAAAAAGACAAGCATACAAAACAAAGCCAACAATAAGAATAAAATAAAAAGGAAAAAATTATAGAGACATCAATTAAAATTAGAGTAAGGTGCTTAAATATTCTGAAAGTATCTATGAAGAACCACTTAATACTTGAAATTTTTTTTGGCTATTATATTATATGCCTAAAAGTTTATTTTCGTGATAAAAATACTTTGGATGTCTTCTGTCATTAAGTTTAACTGTTAAATTATGTGATTTGATCAGTGTCTTTAATGGTCAAACTTAATGACGGATAATAGTTCAAAACAAAAGTGCTACATAATAAAACTTTCGAGGCATATAAAAAAAATTTAGGTATTAGATGCTCATTCATAGATACTTTTGGGGTATTTAAGCATCTTATCTCTTTAAAAATGGGGAAAACTATAAGAACTTATGTATTAAGTTTTCCTTTTATAAAAATCAGTTCAAAATTCTTGGTTAATATATTTATAATGAAGGATAAAAAAGGATTTTAAAAATTCAATGTCATTCAATGTAAGTATCATTAATCTAGAATTATGAATTGTAATTTTTATAATTTAAAAAATTATGCACTAAATATGATAATATTTAAATAAATTAAAATAATAAAAATAAATACAATTTTTGTGATCGAAATATTAGTTAGCTTTCAGCTTTTAATCCAAAATAGAGAAAAAGGTTAAGGAAAATTAACAAGGAAGCGCATGACTATTGCTTACTTTTCTTGGTCCATGAATTTGAATTGGGCCACAGTACGCGCAAGATGGGGCCACCATCATCCATAAAAACGTGTAATGAGGCCCACATGTACTTTTACTATTAGACAAACGCTCCAAACGATGCCTAACGCGTGTACGCTTTATAACTAATTATTATTACTACTACTACTACAAGCAAATAATATAATTATAATCTTCTCAAGTATGCACTTAATTCCTCCTTAATTATAGTCACTAATCCTTTCACAAAACTATCATTAGTTAAGCGAATTTTCTGCTAAAGCTTTACATGGGGGTTGAAGATCTTAACCTAATTATTATTTACTCTCCAACCTTCATAATATCAGCCACGCATTCTCATCCTTTATATTATTCCTTACATCATGCAATTCTTTTATGAAAGAGACTTTTTATTTTTTTTAGTGAAATATTCTCAATGTATATTGCAACTAATATCTAGTTAAATAGAAGATACATTTATGAAGCTCCATTTTGTGCTTTACGCAAACACCTTCTAATATTGGCCTAAAATATAAATTTTTGAAAGTTTGTGGAGTATTAATTACTTTATTTTAAACCACGAGATGTAGTATAATTGGCACTTAGCTGTATTATTTAAGCATCATCTAATTAGGAGTTTCATTCTCAAATATGTTTATGAAGAAGATTTCGTGACTAGTACTAAAGTTTATTCGGAAGTCTGTAAGAAGATTAGTCACTATTACCAGTAGCAAATACCCTAGATAAAAAAAAATTATTTTAAAAATAGCCACATATTAGTTAAAAGTAGCTTATATTAAAAATTAGATAGAGTATTATCTTTTGAAAAAAATATATTAGCCTTTGTTTTTTTACACAACTCTAAGATAAGTTGAATACTGTGGCTTCCTATCCATTTTACATTTTATATTCATATAATCATATTGATTATTTGATCAAAATATTAAAAGGATTTTTATGATTGGAAAAAAGAAAGGAAGGGAATGATAACTTTAGAGTGGGAGGTATGATGGGGTGGATCTTTTTTTTTTTTTTGGGGGGGGTGTTGCTGCTGTGAAAGTGATTTGAGAGCTTTTTTCTGAAAAACAATGCAATGGGGTATCATGGTCTTCCTTCACCTTTTGCTTTTTTTAGGTCTCTGTTTCCTTTATAGCTTTTTAAAAAGTAAAAGTACTCATTCCTGCATGTATGCTGCCAACAATTGCCTTAATTACAGAATCTAATCAAACCACACCAAACCCAAAAAGGCTTAATCAATGAAACTGAAACAAGTTAATTAAGCCAAAGCTACGATAATTAGTTTTGATTTTTCTTAAGCAATGACAAAAAATAACCATGGCTGTCCCACTTCCACCTAAAGCTACTTCAACATTTTCCTCTATCTAAGGAGGACTTGGTTTGGATATTATCATTGAGCATTAAGTATTCTTTCAGAAGAATCCGAGCTCACAACTTTACATCCATAAATTCAAAGGATATTTATTTCTAGTTAGTAATGGAATTGACTCTCCGCTTTTTGACTACCCTCAACTTTTTTACACGCAAGGGAGCCTGCTAAATATATATTTATATTTAGAAATAAGTGTGTTCACGTTCGAACTACTGAAAATCATAGTTTTGATAAAAGCAGGTAATCAACTCCCATCAAAATCATAGTTTTAGTAGTTTTCAGCTGAAAACCAAACATGCATACTACATTTTTTTTTTTTTTACATTACAGTCAAACTTATTCTAGATGCTAACGTCTTATAACAGTTAAACACTCAACCCTTGGTAAAGCCGAACAGTGGGGAACTTGCTGATATTTACTATTTCAGTGTCATATCACACAAAAAGGTATAGCATAGATAATGAAGAGTTTAAGTATAGAGCATCTTGTATTATTATTCCGCACATAAAAAGATTTAGAAGAAAAATAACACATAATCTATTACAGATCTGAGAGCATTATGATATGCAATAATCATTTGAAGCGCGGAGACACTGATTCTCTTATTCAGGAGAATCCTCGAACACCATTTGCTGTAGGTGCCCTCGTTTCTGTGCGCCGAAAGCATATTACAAGCCCACACACAACCAATAACATATTGTTTTAATAAAAAAAAAAATAGTGATTCTTGGGCATGATGACGCAAAAAGATTACTTAAATAATTTAGGCATCATGGGCCAAAAAAACACAGAATAATTTAGGCATCAGTAGGCTAAGGCAACGGCACCAATTCTTTCCTAGTCCAATGTTATGATTCCTATTGTAAAGTACACCAAAAGGTCGCCTTGGGTACGAGACAATGTTCACATCATCCAAAAGAGAAAGAAAACAAAAGGGAGAGGCAAAATGATGCTTCATATTCATCTTGTTCATAGAAACATTTTGTCTCACATCTTCAGATGATCTACCATTCAGGAATATAAATTATACTATTGAATGAATTTACCCTGCCCCAGTTATGGAGATGTCGCCACTTGAAAACCCCATAAATGAATATAGGCTGACAGAGAAAGAGTCTGCCCAATTTCTGTATGCACGAGGAAGTTGTATATAATGCATATATAACCATCAGATATGGCATGTTCCTTACACCAGCATCAATCACCTCATGGAGATCAAGTGAGTTCATCCAACTACAAGTTAGATTCCTAGAATTCAAGGTTTCAATTATAGCTCAGCAGGCATCTTCTGTGTCAGATTCTCTGCTACTCTGTTTTCCTTCTGGTGTAACCTTCCCCTATTTCCCATTCTTTATTCAATTCATAAATAGCTCTGGATGCTGCAGCAGCAATTGCTGGGCTGCTATCTTCTGCCAGCCTCTGGAAAGAAAGCCACAGCCATAAATTACACCATATCAGTAGCAAGTAGCAACTAGCAACTAGCTAACGCTACAATTCCAGCAAAAATGTCTACATGTCATTTTACCTGCAATGCTCCCATGCCCGCATTTCCTAAAACCCAAGTGGATGGGGCTTTCACCAATGCATTTGCTAATGCTTGTCTAGAAAACACATGCACCCACAAGGGCACCACAGAGAGAGTGTGTGTTAAAAGGTAGGAAGAATGCATCACAGTAGTCGAGTTGATAAATTGCAATCATGTTATAACGATATTTTTCTCCAGTCTTGGTCAATAGAAGCTTTATATCATTAACTGTTCAACATTGCACAAATTAGTATCTGGGGAGTTCTACCAACAGGTAGTATCTAGGAGTTCTGCCAATATCAATGGCAAATGTAATAATTGGAACAAAAGAATGAAAATATGCTTAAAAAAGAGTGCATGTAGCTAGGCTTATGCTCATCATGGCATACAACAATATCATTACTAAAGTACACCTTTAGTTACAATCTTGCCAAAGGCTTTTATAGCAAAATCGGATTGAATTAAAAAGTAAACATAGTTCTTCACTTCTACCTTGACACATGAAGTAGATGATGCAAATATAATTCCCCAAACACTATTCTATCAGAGTAAGCCTACCGTGTACTGACATCAGGAGAACTTGCACACTCTGCCAACAAGGATACACTTCGTTTCCCATCCATTGCATCAAGGTCCATAAGAGCAGTAATCAACAACTCAAGCTGTTTGTGGTAGAAAAAAGTAGCCAAATAAATCATATCAGCACACAAACAATAACTAAGACAAAATGACAAAATTTTGGAATCAAACCTCTTCAGGATCAGTGTAATCAACTCCATCAGCTTCAGAAAGTGCTGACGCCATACTCCAGTAAGCTTCCTGTCCACTTCAAAAATTTTATGTTGCAATTTTCCATAGTACATGATTCAAACTAGTTTAGATAGGCCACAGAGGAAAAATGAATAAGGGGGGAAAAAACCTGAATAGCTGCAGTTCGGTCGGCAGACACATCCATGGGAAAGAAATCAATGATGTCTTTATTCTTCTGATGTGTTATACAATCTCCCACATTATTTGCTGGTAAAGAATTTATTTCTTTTGTAGATGACAGTATACCAACATGATCAGAGACAGTTTAAAAAGATGTATAAGCAATCATGTAAACTCCCATTACTTACAATATACATCTGATTCACCATCATTTCATGTATGTTTTTAGCAAACTGCATATTCACATAGCAAGTGAAATTTCTTAATTTGGAGCTTTATACCAAAAAATATAAGAAGACAGAAAGGCTTTATTAATTCTAAATGCTTTTTCAGAAAAATTACATCACTCCAAGGCCATCAGGGTATCTTCCATTGCGCGTTGTTTAGCACGGATGTCGGCAAGATGCAAATCAGCCTGAAAGTTCGAGGTTTGTGTCAAGGAGTCAAAATTCTCTGGTTGTTGCCTTGCCTTTCATATAACAAGGTAATCCTTACATTCTTTATGAAGGCCTTGTGCTCCTAGCCTATTATCCAAATTTAGATCTATATGAAATTATGGGGCAGGATTACCTACTATAAGGAACTGCGATAGAAAAAAAAAAATTATTTGCTAATTAAGGCTGATGAAACAAAAATGCTACGTTCAAGTCCACTGTGATATGTGTTACGTGAAATGACAAGAGAGGGATGCTACAATTAGAAGAAACATTACACGACCAGAAATGGAAGAGAAGGAATGAAGGTCTATTTATAGAACAGTTTTATTTGATCTTTCTTATTTAAGAGACTGCAAGATATCTGGTAACTGTGAATACACATATAGTGATGGGGAGATTGGCAACAATATAAAATATAAAATTGCGTTATTTAGACTTTTTCAACATTTCTTCCTCAAATAATAGGGGGGAAATCCATTTTGTGTGACGCAAACAGGTACATAAGCACAAATATGCAAATATGAACTGAGAATAACAGATGTACCTTTAAGGCTCCATCACTCCAATGCTCATCAGCAGCAATTTCAATCTGGACTGAGCTTTGTCCTTCAAGATCTGCAGAACATGAGTAAAAGAAAAAGAAAAAAAGGAAAGCAGCATGAAACAAAACCACTATGGCATGCCTTTTTTCCTCTCCAACTGAAAAGCTATAAGATTCTAAGTGATACAGACAGTGGCAAGGCAATGAAGGAGCTCAGCTTTTTCCTTGACTTCACGGTCAATTCTCCCAGTATCCTCTCTAGCCCGAGCTACACAGCCAAAAGAAAAGAAAAAAAATTCTTAAGTAGACAATAAACACATTAGGGGAAGCAGAAGGGCATTACATTAATAAAATGATTCCCTATAATTTACCCCAAGAAAAAGAAGGATTCCCCATAGTTGTGGAGTGAAGGGGAGGAAGAGGATGCTCTCAAGTCTCAATCCCTGACCTCCAGAAAA